AACACACTCCACTGCCTCTTCACGGTGACATCACGCTGACCGCACGACAGACACGCATGCACACTCTCGCCTCCCCTATCCGCCCCCGTCACTGCACACACACTGTCCGGGCAATATTCACGACCAGCGGGACCACTCTGTGACGGTTACCCGATTTCAATGCACATTGAGGCAACTCGATACTCCTTTGTGCGAGCGCGGACACCAGGCAGCTGAGTGGGCAGCTGCGCGCTTGGTTTCGCTCTCTCCGCGCTTGCTCTGCTGCTGTCGCCGCGCGCAACCGCCGAGCGTGGGCGAACAGCCCCCCGACACGTCTACAGCTGGTTGCCACGCGCAGGCAGCGCCTACGGCGCAGGCAGCGCAGTGCACGGCATCCTCGCCACGCTGGCCTAGGTAGGTGCGGGTGTACGGACGAGGTGATGGGCGGATGAGCATTTAGAGCGCGTGCGTGGCCGAATGAAATGCCGTCGCCGCCGCTGCTGCTGCCCGCGCAATCCTTCGACACGCCCACAGCAACGGCGTCTGCGAATGTGCCTTAAACGACTACATGTGTGCCAGCTTGGCTGCGCGCGCTCATCACATCGCCGCCTTCGAAAACGAAGCCGTTATTGAATGTACTCGACTCTTGTAAGCTAGTCGCGAGCAATTATCTTTACTGCGCGCAGGAGGAGAGAAAGGGAAAAGATTATATGAGAATGGCGAAAGAGAGCAGCGTGAGAGGTGGGGCGGTGAGATGGGTGAGACGCAGCGTGGAAGCGAGAAGCAGAGAAGACACGATACAGAGTCAGCTGAAGGGCACAACAAATATTATATTAGCAGTAGAGAAGAAAATTCAAAAAAACGAAGTGATGGGGGGGAAAAAAGAGGGCGGTAATGTAGACTCGGAAACAGAGCAAGTCTCATGGTTCTTAATGTATCATATTCTGGATTGTTATTCAGCTATTCATTCATTCAACTATTTCAGCGTATATATATATATATATATATAATATATATATATATAATATACTATATTATATCATCATCATCATTATATTTTTCATGTCATCTTTTCTTTTGCAATGTCAGTTTTCTGAAATACGAAGCCAGATATTCCCGCCCTAACGTTTGTGTGTATGAGTGGTGTGCGCGTGCCGTGCGTGCGTGCGTGTGTGCTGTGTGTTGCGTCCGTGCGTGCGTGTGCGTGTAACGTGAGCGGTGGCGCGTGCGTGAGCGGTTATTTTCTGGCGTCGTTTAAATTCTCTGCGTAATCAAAATAATGGATTGTATGTTTAGCCGATCATAATAAATTTGAAAATAAATACTGCGTAAAAGGTTAACGGCTATTATATAGACCCGCCAATGCATGTCGCAAGTTACGTTTAAATGGTTTTAATTTTGGTGCGTATCATTGTGTTTAATTATCTCGTATAGACGCCCGACCGCATGAGGTGGGCTCACGCTTAAAGATAGGTATAGATAGATATAGATAAATAAATGCATGATGAAATTGATGATGATGGAGTGGATGTGATGGATGGAGTGAGGATGGATGATGCGATGGATGGATGATGATGATGGATATGACTGGATGGGATGTTGGATGGATGGAATGGCATTGGGATTATGGATGTGGATGGATGGATAGATGATGAAGGATGGATGGATGGACTGGATAGATGTAGGATGGATGGATGGAATGGATGGATGGATGGATGGATGGAGATCGGATGGATGGATGGATGGATGATGGATGGTAGATGGATGGATGGTGATGGATGGATCGGATTGATGGATGATGATGGATGATGATAGTGAATGAGGATGTGGATGGATTGGATGGATAGGATGGATGGATGGAAGGATGGGATGGATGGATGATGGCATCGAGATGATGGACTGACGGAGGATGGACTTGGAGGTGGATGGATGTGACTGCTGGACGGATCGGATGGATGGATGGAGCGATGGATGGATGGATTGGATGGATGGATGGATGGATGGATGAATGGATGATGGATGATGGATGGATGGATGGATGGATGCGATGGATGAGGATGGATGGATGGATGGATGGATGGATGGATGATGGATGGATGGATTGGATGGAATGGATTGGATATGGATGGATGGATGACAATGGATGGATGGATGGATGGATGGAGTGGATGGATGGATGGATGGATGGATGGATGGATTGGATGAATGGAATCGGATGGATGGATGATGGGATGGATGATGGATGGATGAGTGGTGATGGATGGTGATGATTTTGAGTGATATGATAGATAAGAGACGTAGATAGATAGATAAATAGATAGATAGATAGATAGATAGTATAAGATTAGATAGATAAGCATAGATAGATAGATAAGACTATATAGATAGATAGATAGATAGATTGATAGATAGATAATTAGATAGATAAATAGATAGACATAGATACGATAGATAGATAAATATATAGAAAGATAGAATAGATATATAGATAGATAATAGATAGATAGATAGATAGATAGATAGATAGATAGATAGATAGATAGATAGATAGACATAGTATAGATAGATGGATAGATAGATGATAGATAGATAGAATAGATAGCGATAGATAAATAGATAGATAGATAGATAGTAGATAGATAGTATAGATAAGATAGATAGAATAGTAGGTAGATAGATAGATAGAATGATAGATAGATACGATAGATAGATAAATAGATAAAATAGACTAGATTAGATAGATAGATAGATAAGATAGATAGATAGATAGATAGATAGAGTAATAGAAGATAGACAGACAGATAGATAGATAGATAGATCTAGATAGATAGATAGATAGATGTAGATAGATAGGATAGATAGATGGAGAGAATAGAAGAATAGAATAGATGATAGCATAGATAGACAATAGATATAGATAGATAGATAGATAGCGATAGACTATTGATAGATAGACATAGACATAGATAGATAGTCGATAGATGATGATGATATAAGAAGAGTCAATAAATGATAGATAGATAGATAGATATAGCGATACGAGCGCCAAGTCTACCTTTGAGTCCGCACTGCACAACCGCCGAGACGCCTACCACTTCCACCATGCACTAGATATGCAAGATGCAAGATGCAGTACATACGCACGTGCATGACAGGATATCTTCGGGAGCGGCTGGGCAGCGGTTGATAGATGTTATCCATCCATTTAGGCAGCATTTAGGCGAACATTAATCCATTGAATTGCAGTGCGCTACAAATGGGTGCTTATTCAGACGCTGGCGTGCCGCAGTTTGTGCTGGAATGCGCACCGGACAGAAGGCAGGCATGCTGTCAGGTCTCTGCGCGTATGTTCAGCAATATGAAGAAGCAGCCAGCCTCACTATAGCACTATATCACTGGGAGAATGCTGAGAACAAGGCCGTAGATATTCATAAACCAGGCAGCAGGCCTAATTAAATTGCGAGAAGATTTCTGCCGGTTTTGCTGATACTAAAGAGTGAACTCGTTTTTTAATATAATTTCTAACGATCTCGTTACTGTTGCTGATACGTTATTAAAAATGACTTTTTTCAGTTGCTTTAGGCCTTTCGTTTATGATTGAATCGCCGACGAATTTCATTCGACTTATTTTTTACACATAATCTACGATAATAATATACTTTGCGCTAAATCAAAGCTCGTGTGCGTCTAATGCCTTTAATTTTTTGTTTATAAATTATATATTATATTATACATATATGTGTTTGTATATCAACAGCTAATAAGGGTATTAAATGTCTTCTTATACATTTAATATAAAAGGTATTATTAGCTGTAGGTACACACTGTTTTACCTATCACCAATTTATTCATATGTATACCATGTATTTACCGCAAAGATGGGGATGAAAGTAAGTCGGATATCAGAAAACCACGCGCGCGCGCTCGTTTACATCTCACTTTAGATAATGCTGGGAATTTTGTATAGAGTATCTCGCCTAAAATACGCGATCAGTCCAGGGAACCGAAGCGCCGCCGACGCTTGATTCGCGCAACACGATAGTATACAACACTTGTAACCGATTCGTGGAAGTTTGGCAATGTTTTGCAAACTGACGACTTATCAATAGCAATTGAAACCGCACCGAAAAACGACTCAAGGTAAACACGGCGCGGCAATACGTAAATTTCGTAAGAAGCATAATAAACACAGTAGGTAATACTTAGTGTATGGCGAACCCGTGCTCGGCTCGGCTCTCCTGCATATATCGCTTACAGGAAAATAATCACTAAACAGCTACTTGGATGGTCGTCATATGATGCGGTGATCCGGGGCGTGCGCATCACTGAACTATCACACAGGGGTCGTTATATCTGCACGGGAAACAAAATCCCGAAGCAAATATACCGATGCGTATGAAACCATAATAATATGCGTTATATCCGCGTGGCGGGCTTGCCGCTGAGTTTACGGCTGTGGGCGCATATATCGATGAGCGATAATATCAGGTGTCTATCATAATATAGACACTATATAGTGTCTATATTATCAGGAATGTATAATATAGTCTATAATATAGTTTTTTGACACTCCTGATAATATAGGAAATGCGTATTCACTATGTGTATGTTATCCAGATTAAATCACTACTATAGTGTGTTTATATTTATTCGTAGAGTAGTTTTATAGCAGCGATCTTTTTTATCGTGTGTACTTAATGTGTTGTTTCACTTCAAGGAAACGGAAAGATATGGAACTATGATGGTAGTTGTGAAGTCTAAAGATTTGTTGATATGAAGCAATCGGCGTAATCGCGTTATGTTACAGTGCTATGATCTGTTAATTTAGGAGGTGTTGTTACGTAGTTATATGTATTGATGTTGATATGTATATAATATATGTTGATATTGTATATAATATATGGTTTCAGATACATCTAATGTTGTTATTTATCGTATTTATTTAGCATTATATTTTATTGAAACGTTTCAAGTGCCTGTGCTATAGATAGTTCTAGAGCTACCCTCTACAATTCGCCTACCTGACATTGCGGGCGGCATCGACATGTCGCCGTTCTGTACGTGGTGACCGAGCTGTGTGTACGGCGTCTGCTCGCCGACGACGTGCGGCGGCGACAGACTCTGCAGCGACCCCGTGCTTCCCGCCGGACTCAACGGTTGCTGCTTGACGGCGGCTCCGTAGTGGTGCGGCGGCACGGGCGCCTGGCCCCACGACGTCGGCGTCGAATACGTCGCGTACATGTCCCGATGATCGTACGTGCTGAGCGGCGCCATCGCCGCGCTCGTCGCTGCCGCCGCTGCTGCCGCTGCCGCCGCCGCCGCGCCGTACTCGGTCGGCTGCGAGCAGCTGGGCATGTAGTGCGGCGTCGTCGGCATCTGCGGCGGCGACGCCATGTTGGTGTGGTTGACGCTAGGCGGCATTCCGGGCGGTCCCATCGAGCCGACGCCTCCGCCCATCATGCCGTCGTAGTGCTGGCTAGCGGCGGTGGTCATACCGCACGACATGCCCGAGGACCCGTGCTGGAGCATCTCGTACGGCGACCCCATCATAGCCGGGTTCCCCATGCCGTACGGCTTCAGCGCTTGACACTTGCGGCGGAATCCGCGCGGGCGGCGCCGGAAAGAGCCCTCTTCGAACATGAACTCGCTGCCCGGGTCGATCGTCCAGTAGTGACCCTTTCCCGGTCGGCCGAGTCCCTTGGGTAGCTTGATGAAGCACTCGTTCAGGGAGAGGTTGTGCCGGACGGAGTTCTTCCAGCCCTGGTAGGAGCCGCGGAAGAACGGGAAGCGTGCCTGCAGGAATTGGTAGATCTCGCTGAGCGTGAGGCGCTTCGTCGGCGCGCTCTGGATCGCCATGACGATCAGAGCTATGTAGGAGTAGGGCGGCTTCTCCTGCCGTCGCACGCCTGCTCCGCCGCTGCCGCCCTTCTTTCCGGCGACGCTCTTGTCGTCGCTGTTCAGCGTCGTGCCGTCGTCGGCCGGCGACTCCTGCGTCGGGCAGTGCTCCGGGTGACAACCTGTCGGCTGCTGCGGTGGCGGTTGTTCCTGGCGACAGACGGGGTCTTGGTGACACGCCGCGTCCATGTCGAGTATCGGCATGTCGGGGGGAGATGTGCGTGTGTGTGTGTGTGATATAGCAGCGATACGTGTAAATACGCGAGTGAGTGGCAGCGCTGCTTGCGTGTGTGGTGCGCTCGCGAACGCCCGAGCAGATGTGTACGCGGGCTGGATGTGACCCACAAAATAATGCAGTTGATGGGATGGGCTTAGCGCAGGATTACGCCTATCATGTGGCTGCAAGCGTGGTAGGGCCAGTGCTGCCTGCATGCTCCCGCCTGCGTGCGCGTGGGCCACACTCACGCGCGCATGCCGTGGCATCCCCGCCTCTACCATTGTACCATGACCGAGCCGAAACCATACACCGATTGGCCGACGTGCATATCCTATTTGTTTTTCTTGCTCTTGATATTCTGAATCGGTTCCCCAGGAGATTATTTTGCTAAGCAGGTATTATTTATTGGTTTGCTGGAGTGTCATAAGCATAAGTTTGCTACTATAGATGCGAGGCACACGAGTCAAGGGTTTACGCCGAGAAACGCGTCTTCCTGGTTTACAAATCGCGTAACAAAATTTTCATAATCTCATAATAATACAAAATGATCATAAACCTGGCTTCGATGACAGCGATTAATTCCATTGAGTACACAATTCGTTTACGTGTAATGACAATAGACATAACGTCGCGTTATTTTCTACAATGCGATCTACGAATTAACGTGACAATGACAAATAAATATGAATATTTCATAAGAACTCATCCAACAGAAATGACAAACAGAAGTATATAGTTAGCATAGCGGTATCTAACATTTCTGGTGTGCAGTTGTGCGCATGCGTGTCACACTCCTCAGGTGAGCGTGTTTCTACGATGATAACAGTACAACGGATAAGACTGTGCCCATGGTTGTCTACTCCCCTATCGTCGCTGCATCGGTACGTGTCACGCTCATTGGGAGACGATGTCGGTGTGGTCGTCGTACTCCTCAACGTTATGTCTCACGCACAATTCCAAATGTATAGTAAATAGATGAGATATATGTAAGAATTAATGGAGCATTCAACAGCCATGTGTGAGATGTCCATCGGGTCGCAATGCCTTTCCGACAGCTTGTCACGCTATAGTATTCCAACCCGAGCAGCTTCTAAGCATGAGCATCAGAATTCATCCCAGCAAACTCGACGAGAATAAATTTGTGGTCATCTATGTATAGGCATTAATCGAGCGCCTGCCTCATAAGCGTAAAAGTAACTGCATGCCCGTGAAACATTGCTGCATGGGGTTTTCTGTCGGAAATATAGACGACATAGGGTGGAAACATGCACGGGCGCCTGTCTGAGCGTTCGCTGATATAGGGAATGCTCCGAACACTATTAGTGTGGAGTGGGCGATGGAGTGGGCAGATGAAATAGCATCTCGCTCGAAATAGTCGGTGACCGCTCGTACGGTCGCTGTGACATATAGAGAAGCTCTTACGGCCTAGGCAACAGATGACACAGCGGGGTGTACGTGTGTACTCTCACTACTATTGCCAGCTGTCAGTTAGTCGCGTCGATTCTCACGTTCTCGCTATATAGCTTGCTTCAATTGTGAAACACGAAGCGCGTTGCAAATTGTAATTAATCTATCTCTGAATTCATTTCGTGAAGCGCATTGAATATTGTAATTCATTTACCTCTATACTAACAAATTTAATTGTCGAACTGAAGCGAGTTGAAGTCATACATATATATATATATATATATACACCAAAATATATCGTTAATTTTTAAGTTCACATCGTCTTCGAAGCGTGTGGAAATATGCTAGAATTTCTCAGTCTAAAGTGCCTGAAAATTACGAAAACTAGTGCATGTATATGAACCGCGCGGATGTGTGACTACGAATCACGGATACACTCGGCGCATTCACGGCTGCTATGTTACGCAGCTCATATCACACGCCGCCACGCCCACCAACATCCAAATGAAATTGATAATTGGCGGGATGCATGATTATATATATATACATATTTGTGTGTGCGTGTGTGCGTTTGTGTGTTTGTGCGTGCGTGTGTGCGTGCGTGCGTGCGTGCGTGCGTGCGTGCGTGCGTGCGTGCGTGCGTGCGTGCGTGCGTGCGTGCGTGTGTGTGTGTGTGTGTGTGTGTGTGTGTGTGTGTGTGTGTGTGTGTGTGTGTGTGTGTGTGTGTGTGTGTG